GACTGCTGCTAGAGAGAGCCAGGAGTGGAAAGTGTCTCGTGGGCCCAAAGGCCTTTTGCTCATAGGTTGGCTCTGGGTTGCCATTGTGATCACTGATAGTTGCCCTGTGAGGTGGGACAGCATGAGCAGGACTGTTGATCCCAATGCCAGTGGCCCACAAGTGGCCACGTCAGAGTCCCTGGGCCTGTCTGTGCAGTTTTTCCGACTCTCTCGGTACCTCCGGCCTCTGGTGTTTCTCCTCCCCAGCCCTGGGCCTCTAATCCTTCAGGGTCGTTGTGTCAGGTGGCCATCCTTGCTAGGACTGTGTGCCAAGTGAGGTCGGCTGTGATGGGGGTCCCCTGGGAAAAGCACCCCTTGCTGTCTGAGATGGCCAGGAAGCTGCTCGCCAAAAGTCCCACCCCTCTTCCCTGGGGTGCCTGGCTCGTGATGAGCTCGAGCCACTTGGTGGTGACCATGGGGGAATGAACGTCTTCCCCTTGGCTGGGCCTTCCTCTCCTCTTCTGTCTCCTTCTCTGAGCCTGGCAGGCTGGGTGGGGCGTGGCAGAGCTGGGTCTTTCCGTAGACGAGGAGGCCACACAGCCAGGAGCGGGGACCAGGGTTGGCACCGGAGCTGTCGGACCCTGCGCTCTGTCTCCCAGCGGCTATCCTGGGATAGCAGGAGCTGTGGTTACAGTATCAGTCAGACCCAGACCTCTCCTTTCTGATGAAGACAACAAGGGGTGAGAGAGGCCCCAGCATCATGCTCTGCCTCCTGTCCCTTCCAGGGTCAACTGGCACCACAAATTCTCTCACACAGGGCTCCCATGCTAACCCCGAGAGCCTGGCCCCAGCTTGGACAAGTTCTCTCTCTCTCTCTCTCTCTCTCTCTCTCTCTCTCTCTCTCTCTCTCTCTCTCTGCTGCAGATTACTAATTTATTCAACAAACAGTTATTGAGCAGTCACAAAGGGCCAGGTGGGGATGGAGGGAGGGAGACAGAGACACACGAACACTAGAACTTACATAAGACGGACCGTAACTGCATCTTGTGGGTGCTGGGGCCGTGGGAGCAAGAGGAAACTCCTCTCTGGGTGGCTTTCAGGGGGAGATGCCCTTTGGATGGGGCTTAAAGCCTGGGTGAGACTTCAGTAGGCAGAGAGGAAAGGTCACCCCAAGAGAGGGCACAACTTGAGCAGAGGCCTGGAGGTGGATACTCGCATAGTGCAATGGGGCAAGCACATTGTCTGTGAGGCTGGCAGGTATGGATGTGGAAGGTGAGACGGAGGGTATGTCGGGCCAGCCAGTTGGGCCCGCGACTGCCCTGTGAGGTAGGACAGGTGAACAGAGAGGTGAACAGAGTCCCTGCCGGCGTCCATATGCTACCATGGCACAGTCAAGGCTGGGATCCTGGGCCGGCTGCAGGGACAGCGGGAAGGGACTGGGCTGCACTGGAGGGTGACAACTGTGGGCTCAGAGCTGAGGACAAGGTGGCCAACTCAGCTTCTCCATCCACAAAGTGCACACACAGGGAGGCCCTGCCAACCAGACGCCCTGTTGTCTGCTCCCACAGCCTGCCAGACAGGCACCCCCTCAAAGGGCCTGACATTCTCCCCAAGTCTCCATCCTAATACCCTACCTCGCCCCGTCCCCGCTCAGGGGAGTCGTCCCACCCTCGCTGGGCTCCGCACCCCAGACGCTGCTCATCCTGTTAGTCACCAGCCGGTAGAAGGGCCCAGGGCTCCGAGTGCCTGTCACACGCCTCCCCACTGCCGTCCCGCCCTCCCACTGCTCCCATGTCGGGTGTCAGGGTTGTCTCTGTCCTGGGGTACCTCATCCTGGGGATGGCTGAGCCAAGCCAGGGCTAGGAGCCCAGTCACGCTGTGTGACCTCAGGCAGTTTCCCCAACCTCTCTGAACCTTAATCCTTCTTTCCTTTCTTCCTTTCATTTTTTTCCTCTGACTCTCTCTTACTCATCCCTCCCTTTCTCGAGGCCACAAACATTTACTGAGTGTCCACTGTATATCACACACCATGGGTCAGAAGCATGGACTGAAGCCCTCAAATGTCTCGCTTGCTGAGGACTGCCCCCCTCCCCGCCACACAGGGGGAGATGGGACTGACCTAAACCACGGGAGAGGGAGCCCAGGTCTTTGAGGCAGCCCGGCCTGCTTCCCTGCTTCCTGTGTGACCTTGAGGAAGGCACTGCAACTCTCTGAGCCTGTTTCCTCATCTGACACATGATAGAAATCATATTGTGAGATTTAAGTGGGGCATCTGGCTGGTCATGGGTGGTTCAAGTTTCTAAAAATTCACTTTTGTCTCCACCTTGAGGCCTGCAAGTCCTCACGGAAGTCAGGGACTGAGTCTCTACGACAGCAGGATTCTAGACCTCAGCAACTGAGAACAAGACTCCCATGGGAGGCAGGGAATCGCCCTGAGCAGCCTCGCCGAGAGTCACATGGATGCAGCCCACATCACCTACTCATGGGAACCTCCTCTGTTTGGAGGGATGGTCCTGACTCTTGAGGACAGCATCGTAAGGCTTTAGTTATGTTGACTGGGTACTTACTCTGAGACCAGAACTGTACAAACGTCCCCTCTAAACCCCTGAGGTAGGGGCTCTTTTATTCCTATTTTACAGAGGAGGAAACGTGGGCTCAGGGTCATACAGCCAAGAGTGACCTCACAGCCCTCATGCTCTAACCATTGTCTAGCACTTCCCCTGCATGGGGTGATGAAGGCCCCTGCCCGCAGGGTCTGGGGACCTTGAGCCCATGATCACCTGCTCTGGGCCTTGGCGAAATGGAGCCTTGAATCCTTTACCGCCCCAGTGAGGTAAGACAGGGCAGGGTTTCCCAGCCTCTCTGAACAAATGGAAGGCGGAGGCCCTCAGGGAGGCAAGGACCCTGGTCACTGGCACTGGAATCCAGGTCTCTGGGCCAAGTCTGGGCTCTGGCCTCTGCCTGCCACCTTCCTGGATACCAGTCCTGACCCCACTGGTCCCGTCCTGGGGTTGCTCCAGGCCCCGCGTCACTCAGGTGGCCACAGTTCTGTGGGAAGTGCCAGGAGAAGGAAGTAGAGGCAGCTGGCGAGGCTGGGGCCGGCTTGAGGTTCCACGCTACGCCCATCTGGGCTCCAGGAATAGCTGACAGGTATCTCCTTGCAGCCAGCATCCACTAAGTGCCAACTGTGTGCCGGATGCTGTTCTACGTACTCTCCTTGTGTTGCTTCCCTCAGTCCCCACGCCCCCCTGTGCAGTAGGTACGATTATCGTCCTCATTTTACAAATGAGGAGACAGAGGCAGAGAGGCTGAGCGACTTGCTTGCTGTGTGGACGCGGCTTACACAGTGAGGAAGCCAGAATGTAAGTCCAGGGCTGTGACACACCCACGACATGAGGTGGTCAGGTCCAGGCCCGCAGGAGGAAGGAATAACACTTATCACAGTGGGGCTGCTGTTGGCAGGACCGACCGTTTTCCACATCAGCCAGGGTGAGGGTTGGCAGTGAGCCAGGCACCCTGCCAGTCACCTCGCAGAGGAGGGCAAGCTCTCGGTGGACACCTGGCCTCCAGGGAGCCCCCAGCTGAGAGTTTTAAGGGAAAATGTGTGCCAGTGGAGAAGGTACGTCTGAAGGCCAAGGCCACCTTCTATCCGGGCTAGGGCTGACACCTGAGGACACGCGCAGTCTTCCTTCTGCCAAGCTGACTGCCCCATGCCTCCTGCCTTTCTTTGGGGTCCCTGTCTCTCAGAGCTAGGTCTGGGACCCCTGGTATTTCTATGCCAAGGCTCAGGGACCCCAGTGATCACGTGCTCACCCTCTGTGAGTCACCCAACCTCGGTCATTTTGAATGAGTCTTACTCAGGCCTGTGAGGGAAGGATTCCTGCCCCTGGTTTGCAGAGGAGTAAAGTGAAGTCTGGAGAGCCAAATAACTGCCCACAGCCACACAACTGGTTGGGGCAGAGTGGGGGCTCGAGCCCTGGCCTCTCAACCAAACTTCGCTCACCCTGCTTTCTCCTCTGAGCTTACACCAGCTACAGGAACAGTTCTTGCAACAACAGCTGTAAAATAGGGCGATCAGAGGGCCCACCATAGGGCTACTTTACGAATCAGCAGGGCCCAACTGTGTGTTCCTGGGGGTCTTTGCTCACTAAGACTCCAGCAGAGCCCTTTGACCCAGGGATATCTGGGGTCCACTAAACATCTACTAAAGCAACACGAGCTCATTCCCTGTGCCACGTGTCACACAGGGATGAAGGCTGGGAACTATTTTGTTTTATTATTTTATTTGAGTTGGAATCTCACTCTGTCACCCAGGCTGGAGTGCAGTGGCACGTTCATGGCCACCGCAGCCTCAACCTGCTGGGCTCAGGTGATCCTTCCGCCTCAGCCTTCCAAGTAGCTGGGACTACAGGTACGTGCCACCATGCCTGGCTGATTTTTATATTTATTGTAGAGTCAGGGGCTTGCTGAGTTGCCCAGGCTGGTCTCAAGCCCCTGGGCTCAGGCAGTCCTCTTGCCTCGGCGTCCCAGAGGGCTGGGATTACCAGCAGGAACCACTGTGCCCGGTCTGGGGCCAGTTTGAGAGTCCAAATCCACTCATTGATGTGAAACTTGCTCCCGAAGCAGGGTTGGGGAGCTGCACAGGCGTCTGTCTCTCCAGAGACATTCCCTGTCAGACCTCATGGCAGGTCAGGAAGCCCAGGAGACCAGGAGACCCGAGCTAGCAGGAAGGGAGACGGATCCACAGAGTGCCAGCGTCAAGAACCTGAGGCTGAGCTCCTGGAGGGTTGGCCTATTCCCTTTCTGCCAGCTGTGTCTGCAAGTCCTGGTTCAACTGTGTGTTTCTGTCTGAGGGTGTTTGGATCTGAGTGCCTGTTGATGTGTCCAGGTGCCTGTGTTACCTAAGGCCTAACTGTGTTTGCCGCAGGCTGTGTTGTGTCCTGGTCTGATGGGGTCCCGGGTCACGCTGTGGCCGCCTGCACTCTGCCCGCTCCCCCAGGGGGCGCCCCTGCCCGGCTGTCCCTCCCTCGGGCTCCTGTCCCCTGGGTGCGCCCCAGCAGCCGCGTGGGCCGGAGACTGGACGAAGGGTGGCCGCCCGGTCCCGCCTTCCCGGCCCCGCCCCCGCCCCGCCCCCGCCCCGCCCCGACGCCCCGGCCATAAATTAGCGCGCGCGGCCCGCCGCGCCTGCCCCCGTGGTCTGCACCTAGAGGGTCCTGCCGCCGTCGGAGGAGCAGCCGCCGCCGCCTGACCATGGCTGAGGGTGAGTGTCGCTCCCGGGCGCTCGACCTGCCTCTCTGGTCCCAGGGGTCCCATGGGACAGAAGGGGTCAGGACCGCCCGGAGCTCAGTCCCCAAGTCCAGATCTGCAGAGCAACAGGTGGGCTGGGCTGGGCTGGGTGGGAGGCACCGGGATGCTGCTTGGAGACTCAGTTTCCCCATCCACCGGGCATAGTCCTTAACCCCTTCCTCCCTGGATAGACGAGGCAATGGACAGTGAAGGCATGTTGTAAACCATAAAGTACTTTCCTGCTGGGCCGCTGGCATCTGTTGGTAGGGATGGGTCCCTGCTGTGTGTCAGGTGGTGTAAGGCTGTGCAGGGGGTGCTGGCCTGGCCTCAGACACTACGCTGGGGTTAGTCCCTGTCCACCGAGAGGTGTGTGCCTGGGACCCCTGGTGGTGTGCAAGCCAAGCCTGGCTGACTCTCTGGTGGTGGGGGCCAGAAAGGAGCTTCCAGCATCTATGGGTGACTCTGTGTGATGTTCTGCCTGCCCTCGAGGTCTGCAATCCGAGTTCTCAGTCCGCAATCCGAGTTCTCAGTCCCGTGTTCAGTCCGTTTCCTCTCCTGTGAAATGTGGACAGTAGTGTCAGCCTTGGGAATTTGCATGAGGGCTGAGAGGGGTGAAGCAGGGGCTTGGTTCATTTCTTGCCTGGTCCTCCACTCACACACACGCACGTGAATGGACACAGGCGTGCATGCACATACACATAGGTGAACACACATGCGCACACACACACAAACAACAGCAGCACTGTCCTAGGTCCAGGGAAGGATTTCTGCAGTGGAGGATGTCCCTGCACCACTGCTGCTGGGCCCAGATTCCCGATGGGCTGGTGGGTGAAGTCCATTTGGGGACGTGGGGAGAGGGTCCTGGGGCAGGTGGAGCAGGGATGAATTGGAGGGACTGTTCTGCCTGACCTGCTGTGTGATCTTGGTCACCGCCCTTCCTCAGACCCAGCTTCCAACACTCGGTGACGAGTCACCCAGGCGGCCTCTTGTTCCCAATGCGGCTTCTCACCCCTGACCCCAAAAGAGCTCATGGGCCTGGGAGACCCTGGAGATGCCGGTTATGACAAGCTCCCAGCCCCACTGTCACAGCAGCCATGTCTGACAGGGGTCCCGCTGGATTAAAAGGCCTCAGGCCTTTTCTCAGTGTAGAGAGCCTTAAGTCCTGTGATTCTAGGCCCAATGTTTCTGCACCTTTGGAGCTGGGTGTGATTCCTAGAAATCCTTCTTCGGGCAGTAGACTGAGAAAGTGCCCCGTCCCCCGAGACCAGGGATTGACCATCTTTCCAGGGCCTCCTGGGAGACAGGGATGGCCTCTTTCCTGCTCAAGCTCATTGGGGTTGAAGTTTCCAAAAACAACGTTTTCTCGCCCCCACAAGCCAGCAGGAAGTGTGTCCTTGTGGCCGGCTGAGGTCTCTCCTGCTGTGATCACAGGGGGGTCGACTGCCCTGATACTTCATTCGTGCAGAACTCTCTCCTCCCAGGCGAGAAAACAACATAGGACATGGAGGAGGGGCCTCTAGGGGGCTGGAAAGCAAACCCTGCAGGGCAGTGGTTACCAGGGTGGGTGCCATGGTCCTACACCCCTGGTTTCCAGTCCCAAAGCAGTCACTTGCTCGGGGACCTGAGCCACTGTATCCCTCTGGAAAATGGGAATAGTGAGCCCATCTGTGTAAGTGGAGTCGTGAGATTCATGTTGAGATAATTCACCTATGAGCTCTTAGCACTTTGAGCCTCGTGTTTTGACTACCCTGGGGCAGGCAGGAGACCTGGGCTGTCATTTCATGGGTGGGACCAGCTAGCTGGGTGACTCTGGACAAATCCCTACTCCTGGGCCCCAGTAGGACCAGTGGTCCCACAACTCTGAGAGTCTGCCAAGTCCACTCCTCCCACCCAAAGGTCTTTTCAGTCTTGACGTGGAGCTTGCCAAGTTTCATGAGGTTTGTGTTTTCCGTAGACACCCACCCACCCATCACCCTACCCCTGTCCTGGTCTCAGCTCCCTCTGACACTATAAATAGAACTTACACATAGCAAGTACCTGCCCCAGGCTGGGCCTTGGGGGTGTCCCAAACATCATTTTCTAGACTCATGGCAGCCCTTTGAGAATTCAGAGAAGGAGACATAGAGGGGAGAGACACTTATCTAGGATCACACCATGGCATAATAGAACTAAAACCCAGGTCTGGCAGATTCTAAAGCCCCCGTCACTTAAAAAACCTTTTGTTTTAGAGAATATTGAGCATATGTAAAAGTAGAGAGCCTGGAGTAGTGCCTCATGCCTGTAATCCCAGCACTTTAAGAGGCTGAGATGGGAGGATAGCTTGATCCCAGGAGTTTGAGACCAGCCTTGGCAACATAGCAAGATCTCATCTCTACAAAAAAAAAAAAAAGTTTTAAAAAAAATGATCAGATGTGGTGCTTCATGCCTGTAGCCTCAACTATTTAGGAGGCTGAAGCACAAGGACCGCCTGAGAGCAGGAGGTCAAGGCTGTAGTGAGCTATGATCGTGCTACTGCACTCAGCCTGGGTGACAGAGACAGACCCTGACTCAAAAAAAAAAAAAGCAGAGAAAATGGTATTATAAATGTTCTCATCACCTAGTCCAGTGACCTCCAACTCATGACTTCTCCTGAACCCGACACCTCTCCTATTATTTGCGAGCAAATTCCAGGCATAATATCATTTCATCTGTAAAGTTCTCAGTAGATGTCTTTAACGATTAAGGACTCTCCTTTTTGACATAAACAAATGAACAAAAATTGTCTGATATCACTATTATTCCACTAGTGTTTAAATTTTCAGTGGTCATATACATGCATAATAAGTGTTTTGAAATAATTTTTTGAAGCCAAGATCCAGACAAGATCCACACATCATCAAGGGTTGAAATGTCTCCTAAGATTCTTTTCCTAGGCTCTCCCTCCAACATTTTTTTTTTCCATTTTTTCTTGCAACGTATTTGTTAAAGGAACCAGATCCTTTGTCAATAGTTTCTCAGAGTGTGGTTTTAGTTGATCACATCCTGATTCTGTGTTTAACTTGTTCCTCAGCCCTGTGTATTTCCTGTAAATTGAATGTTGGATTTAAAGGCAAGCCCATGCCATTAACCTATGTCAAATACTGCTTGTGTTTAAACCAAAAGAAGCCTGTGATAGCACTAGAATAGCTTGAGTGTATTAAGCACTCCTTGGGCACCAGGCCCTGCGCTAAGTGTATTAATTAATTTAATGTTCATGCCAGCCCTGGGAGGTAGATCCTGCTGTTCCCACAGTTGCTGGAGGTCACGCAGTGGGAGGGGGCTGGGGGGAGATGAGGGAGGGAGAGTCAGCCTGTGACCAGGGCTGAGGTCGGGGCTGGCAGGGATGGCTGTGCTTTGTGGGGACCAAGAGGGAGCAGGGCCTCCATGCCCGGGGGTGTGGGTGTGTTGTGGAGTCACAGCTGGCTGAGAGGTGCCACCACGGCTCATCCGTCTCCCACTGTGTCCTCAGATCTGGCCCTGGAGCGATGTGATCTGGAGCTAGAGGCCAATGGCCGCGACCACCACACAGCCGACCTGTGCCGGGAGAAGCTGGTGGTGCGGCGGGGCCAGCCTTTCCGGCTGACGCTGCACTTCGAGGGCCGCGGCTACGAGGCCAGTGTGGACAGGCTCACCTTCAGCGTCGTGACGGGTGAGTACCTGCAGCCCTCACCCCACCACCTCCACTCCGCCCTGCCCTGCCCCTTTCTGGAATTCACGGTCCCCTGACAGCAGGACAGATACCCGTATTTGTCCCCTGGGAAATTCCCCTGTCACTAGCCCCATTTTACAAGCTAGGAAACTGAAGCCCAGAAGGTGGGGCGATGTCCCCCCAGGCCACCCAGGCTTGTAAGCAAGTCTGTGCTCCTGACTCCCTGAGCTCCTGGAAACCTATTGCCACCGGGGTTAGGGTCAGCTTTCTGCAATGAAGTTTGATCAAGATCCTGTCCACCAGCAGGGTGGCTCACACCTGTAATCTCAGCTATTTGGGAGAATGAAACAGGAGAATCGCTTGAGGCCAGGAGTTCGAGACTAGCCTGGGCAACACAGCAACACCCATTGTAAAAAAAAAAAAAAAAATCCTGTGTGCTCTTTACCATATCAAAACAACTTTCTAATCCCTCTGCTTCCTGAAATCCATGCAGTCCAACAGGGCACTGTGATGAGGCCCACACTGGGTCTGGGTGGCAGAAGAAGAGCCCGGCTGGCTTCCGCCTTCTGAGTGGGCAGTGAGGTGTCCCTGCAGTTCCTTCTCCAACCCTCAGAAGGCTGCCTTGGTATCTGGGACTGCACAGAGACCCGGGTTCTAGTGCAGGCCCGCTGGCTGCCTGCTGTGTGGCCTTGGGCAAGCTATTTAGCTTCCCTGAGCCTGGGGTTCACACTGGAAGACTGTTGAGGGTGTGTCCTGCAGACGTTAGCCAGGGGCGCCAGGGGCGCCAGGGCTGGGCAAAGGGATGCAGAGGTCCCTGCTGCCACATCCCCAGACGCCCACCTTTGTTGGCCATTCCTGGGAAAGTGGTCTCAAATGCCAAATCTGTCAGGCTAGCTTCTGGTGGGAGCCACTCCCTGGAGTCAGTGGGGGCCGCCTGGCTGGGACTCTGGTGTGAATGGCCGCGCTGAGGTCTCTGAGGCAGCAGCAGGCAGGCGCTGCCCCTGGCTGAGGCCGGGTTTACCTGGAAGGCCATTCGATAAGCTGTATCGAGGTCCTCAGGCCTGCCACGGACATCCCTCCATCTTTCTCTTCCCAGCACCTCCCCTCCTGGCCCCCATGCTCACTCCCCAGGGGCACCGCACACGCATACCCACACCCTCAGGGCCTCTCTGACAGAGCCAGGGTTCCGATCTTCAGGCCTCAGTCTCTCTCTCTGTAAAATGGAAGGTTCGGGTACATGGCAGTTTGGATCTGGATGCGGGTGTGGTTCCCTGAGAACTGGGCTTGGGGTGGTGAAAATCACAACGTGTGTGGAGCACCTACTGAATGCACGCTCATCCTGAGTCCTCCCGGCTTGGAAGTATGAAGGACTCCCGTGTGGCAAATGGGAAAACTGAGGCTCAGAAAAGTCAAGTCATTTGTCCAGTGAGTTGCACAGTGAGTCAGGGACACAGCAGGCTTCAAACCCTGACCCCGAGTTGAGGCTTTCCGTGACTGTGACCCCTCAGCAGGCTCATTTACCTCTCACAAGTACCTGCCAGGCCTCAGTCTGTTCCTCTGTGAAATGGAGTGGGAGATGCATGGCCAGCTTGGGCAGCCAGTGACTTCCACCGCCTTTTTTCTTCGTTTGTTCTCAGGATGTCCCTTTCTTCTTTCTCCTCCAGTCGGCTGCTTGGCGTTAGGTCAT